GGTTGGCTGCAGCCAGAGCATGAGTCTCTGTCACCCTAACAAATAACAAATCAAACAGCTTTGTATTACTGACACTGCAATATGAACTAATGAAATATTCTGGGTACTTTACAGCACAGCTTTGATATTGTTTGTGCTGTTGTTTCAGCCTCCAGAGTTTGATTATGACATTTCAGGGCTTTTAGAATTGAGGTTTTCTGAAATCAAAAAACACTCAAGCACTTATTCAAACAGGCTGGGACAGTACATTATAAGGGACCAGTGCAAAACAAAATGGTGATATTTGGCATTATTTTCTTATTTTAACAGTATGTGGGTTCAACATTTGTATATTAAAATATCTTAATATTTACAATCTGTAGTCTTTATTTGTGCAAAAGACTACTAACAATGCATTATGGTGCAGCCACAATAATATTTCACCCATCACAATAGCTTTTATTGCATCACAACAAGTGGCCTTTTCTTTTTCTTTTGTCTTTCTTCTAGTTGCCTGTTTTTGTGTTGTACTTACGTTGGTCTCTCAGTGGTGGCAGCAGCCGGCTCCTGCTTCTCCTGTAGCATCATACGGAAACTGTTCACCTTCTCCTCGATTTCCTCAGCTGAATACCTGACCACCCAGACAGAGAAAAGTATCTAACACTGTACAGATAAAAGCAAAAAAAACTTGCAGCTTTCCTTATTTTTCTCCTATTGTAGCAAGCTTCTGTCTACTGTATGTCCTTGTTATAAAACAGACTACAACAATTTCATGTTACAGTACAAGTACATCATTTAACAAATTCAAATGTTACAACAAACAAAGCAATTTGAGGACATCACTTTTGGCTCTGGTTCTTGTGGTGGGCATTTGTTTTTCTTACATAAAATTGACAGACCAGATAATCATTTCAGAAAATCAATTATGTAACTCATATTGAAAATAGCTGATCATAGTGGGGACAGATTTAGCATATTATAAACCTGCTTACAGCCTGGAAGTGGTTCATTTATTTCAAGGTTAATTATAACTCTATTCGTGTCAGCAAAACCCCTTTGTAGTCCAGGAGCCTCATGTTAGAATACAGCTGTTGTCTTACCCTTGTTCTTCCATCATGTCCTGCAGTTCGGCACACTTGACCTCCAGCTGCCTCTTTCGTTGGTGCTCCAGGATGTCAGCATTGGGTTGCCTGTTGAGCTGACTCTCCAGCCTCTCCCTGTCCTTCTCATCCCGCTCGCCGCCGCGCTCATCCCGCGGCCGCTTGACCCGCAGGCTTGACAGGTTGCGTTGAACATAGCCATTGGTGCCGCTGCCCCGCGGAGTTGTCAGGCCAATCCCATTGTACATGGCTCTACCAAAAAAAAAGAAAAAAAGAACAGAAATACAGAAATAGATAGGATTACGTGAGCCTTTTAAGGTCTCCAAAGGGGAAACTCAGGAATTGCAGCAGCACAAAGACAGAAATAAGAGCTGAGAAGAAGAAAAGTAAAATATAAGAGCAAATATGGGAAGAGGTATAAACCTAAGCCTAACAGAGAAGTACATTTTTAAAAAAAAAAAAAAAGAAAAAGAAAAAGAAAAAAAAAAAAGATCTGGAATTCAAGACAAAGTTAAGAGGTACAGTAAGTGACAAGTTGCAAGGTATAATGACACAATATGATTAATGGTAGCGAGTCTAATTTTATGTCAACAGTGTGCACCAGAATATTGAATACTTTTAATAAGATACTTAGTGTTGTCTGTAATATGGCATACAAAGTGGTAAGAAAATATAACATATTAAGACGGAATAGTATAATACGGTTAAGTAATATCAGGTATAGAATATAGTAAAACATGCAGTGTAGTTGTAGTAATAATAACAATGTAATAATAATAGGCAACATGGTTTAGGCATCATCGTTACTTAGTCTTGAAAACAAATACTAGAAATACAAGATAATAAAATGTAGTAAACAGAGCATTAATCCGTGCCTATCTCCTGTGAGTAACGATTCACTTTGACCCAGTATTTGACACCTTTGTCTTTCTGTTATACTGACAGTGGCTATGAAGAGATCCATAGTAGGGCATGTCTCTATGGCCAGCATTTGGTCATATTTTTCTCACTTGCATCCATAAAGATATCCAGTTTATAAATACTGAGAAACTTGGTGTACTAAGATGGCTGACAAATGTACCAGAAGTGATTCAAGATCATTGCCAAGGCTGTATTTCCAGTCCTACATTTAATTAAAGTGTCTGACAAAAATGCAGAAAAAATAACATAGTTATAGAGTTTAATGAAACCACAGACACACAAACTAAAATGCAGGCGGCGGCATTTTGTAAGAGTGGCACAGGTTTCTTCCAACATATCATAGCTGATAAAAGGCTTGTGAAACAAAGAGTAGACGTATGTATCGCTTGGTATGTTTAATTAAGCACCCCTATTCATATTTAGAGTGTTTATTCACGGTGAAAGTTAATTTTTATCGCGCATTAGCACGTGCGCCAGAACAGGCCTGTTGCTACGTCTGAATGTAAAATGGCATATTTATGATGACTCGAAGCTAAGCCAAACCATCAAATACTACATTAGGACTCACTGGTTGAGGCTAACATGGCTAAAAATTACTGCTTTATCATTTAATTTAACAAACGACGTAGTGAATTTAATGCTACACATTTCTACAGGCCCAACCACACTTGTGCGTAGCGAACAATTCCTGTCTAAGCTAGCATGCTAACGTATTTGTTACGTACCAGTGTTTTCTCCGGGAGCGGAGAGAAAACGGCGTCGGGAGAAATTGGCGATAATTAATATCCTGTTGATTGAAATAATAAAACAACACTTATAACAAGTGAGATTTTCGAACTGTGGGAAAATAAAGAAATCTGGCTAGTTAGCTATCGGTTAGCTGGTCTGATCTCCAAATAGAGGAGGAACGAAATGAAAACCAAGCGACGTCATACGCAAGGGACGCATATTTAAACTGCGGTGCGTTTAGGTGTTTGGGTAAAATTGTATACTTGGCTTATATATATAATAGGTTTGGAATTTTGATGGGGAAAATGTATAGACGATATTTATTTATATTCAATGATAAAAACACGATGTATTGGGTTTGAGTATCTGAGTTTGTGTAAGTATCAAAAAGCTCCAATTACGGTTAGAAAAGAATGTGAATGTGACCGTGCTAAGATTATAAGGAGGGAAACTGTTGTACAGCAGTTGCAATGTAACGTGGGGAGAAAAGCAAATATACAGAGTGCAATTAAAACAAATAGAACCAATATCAATTATCAGTAAGGTGCAAAACGAGGGTGCATGAACTAAATGTGCACTATGCTAGAAATGTAAAAAGGTAAATAGAGAATGTCACAGATACAACTTGTTAATTGGTGTGTTACAAGGCTAGATTATCAACCGGACAAAGTGGACAACTTCTGCAAGCAGTTAGCCAGTTTGAAAACAGTCAATGTCCTGAGTGCCCTTTCAGTTCACTGTGTGCCAATTACTTTGCTACTGTTTAATTGTCCTTTTTTTCCCTTTAATCTTGGGGTCATGTCTTGCAAAGAAGTCTGTGTCATAAATTTTAATAGGCTACTTAAAATATTTCAGTTTACATTATGATCATAATCTCAAACAAATTTGTTTTTAACTAAACTAATTAACCATCTTACTTAAATCTTGGGACAGGATAGTGATCCAGTGTTTAAATATGGGTTGATTTTGAGATTGTGAAATGTCTCAGGAGCTTTACTGCTACTCCTATAGCAATAAAGCTACGGGGGGAGCAGGAGTTACAGTAAAGCCTCCTGCCTTGGTGTTACATAGTGTGGAAAAAAATTTATTTCACCTAAAAAGTAATTTAGTGGAAATTAAAAGGAAAATGCATTTTGTGTTTCTTGAGATGATGTATCTCTAATTCAAATACTGAACATGTTCATACCTTAAACAAAGTCCAGCATTTGAAAACTTAAGAAGTGAATGAAGTGTAAACCTTGCTGAAGCTCAGGTTTAAGTTATGTGTGTGTGTGTGTGTGTGTGTGTGTGTGTGTGTGTGTACAGGTTAAACTCACTTGGGCATTTGGATTTGAAGATAATCATAGCCTAGGAGACTGTTGACTTCTCCCAGTGGTCTCAGGTAATTTAATACATTTTGTAATTATTGTCAAAGTGCCATCAAATTACAAACATTTGTTAGGTCACTTAAAGTTGGTAAGATGAAGGAGCCTGTGATTTAAATAAACGCTTGGTGAAGCATCAGCAGCTGCAGGCTTGTTTCTCGAGTTTACCTTGTGTTGATAAAGATTGCTCCTCTGTGGCAAAGGAGAGAACTGCAATGACATCTTAAAAAATGAAAAGGAAGGTTCAAGGTCTATCTATACCTGTTGTTCAGCAGATCAGACTGAACAAATAGTCCAGGGTGATTTGTGAGAAACTGTTGAGAATATGACTTTAAAAACTGTTAATCTATCTTTATTTTATTTATTTTGATGAATTTAAAGACATTTACAACTTAAATTGGTGCAGAAAAATCACCAGAATGCTGGAACTTAAGAAAAAAGCTAGGGAAACACTACATTTATAATAATAATAATTATTATTATTACATTTTAGAATTATTATTATAGTTTTATATTTTTATTTTATTTCACATTCTTTTAGTTTATATATTTATATTCATATTATAGAATTATTATCATTTTTACGCACTCTTCCCAGGTGATTTTTTGGTTTGTTTGTTTATAACTTTCTTTTATTTTTCTTTTTTAAAACTAATTTTCTTGTTTTTGCCTTTTTCCCATGTTTTTAAAAGAAAAACAAGTGAATTTGCTCAGGTTTCAAAGGGTTAAGATATAATGTAGCTACATATTTTTATAGTTGTTTTTTTGGGTCCATTGTAAGTGAAAACAATAGTGAAAACCTACTTGACAATAAATCTCACTGAGTCACACAACTTCGACAAAACTACATTTCCCACAATGCAATCGGGCGATTTTGACGCAAATTTTTACATAAATACATCCTACCAGCGTTCACCCGTTAGTGACGCCGAAGCCAGCAATAGTGGTGTGTGTGTGCTGCTGCTCTGCAGGGTCGTTTCCCTATTAAAAATATAACGCAAACTCACCGACGGAAATTCAGTAACGATGGCTGAAGGCGACAACAAAAGCGCAAATATGCTAGTGAGTATTTTCTTTACTAGTATGAAAGAGTTCTGTCTGCCGTGCGTGTGTTTGTAATATTAACGTTAACGTTGGCTAGCATTGCCTGCTAATCTGGTGGCGGTCACGCAGCCGATGATGGCCCTGTTTTGTAGATGTGTTTGATTATCGTGAACTTTGCACCGCCAAGTAGCAAGCAACCTAACCAGCGAGTTAGCTTTTGTGGCTTATCCGACTATCCGTTAAAGTGCCGCCGCAGCTAATGTCAGCTAGCCGACTAGCTAGCCCGCTAGCTAGCTGATGGTTTAATACGCCTTGACGTTACCCAGTTAGCTTCAGCAGGGACGCTTCCCTTTCTAGCATTGCACGCGAGCGTTAAGGTTAAGGCTAACTTATAGCCTTAAATCAAGTTGTGACATTTCCACTCGACGTATCTTGATAAATGTGTGTTTAGCGCTGCTTATTTCCTCTTTCCTTCCGCGGCGATGTAGTGCACAGTCATATCAACAGTAAGAAACGCAGTTATCATTGCCGTGCTTATCGCCAAAGGCATCCACGCCCTCGACTTGGGACTTAGATAAATTGTTGTTCTTACTCTCAGAATAAATTTGTTAATGACAACTAAAATAACCCCACATAGGTATAAATATAGCAGAATAAAACAAGTATCATAGTTAAATCCAATTCGATGTAGGGGCTTTAAATCATGCTTCGAATTACAGATATGATTCAGCATAAATAGAGTGGATATTGAGGAAGATTGATTTTACCCTCAGGCTCAAGTGGCATGGCCCAGAAAAAACAAATTTCCTCGACTTCAGCAGCTAACGTTATATCCCCATTCACTCTGAAAACATGCACATAGTATGGACATGTGGTTATCATGCATTGAAAGTAGTCGGATTAGTAGTGGTTGTTAGTTTTTTTTAATGTGTATAATTTTGTGTTCAGGCTCAGGAAACGGCCCAGCTGGAGGAGCAGCTGCAGGGCTGGGGTGAAGTGATCCTGGCTGGGGATCGTGTCCTGCGCTGGGAGAAACCTTGGTTCCCTGGAGCCCTGTTGGGTGCTACCACAGTGCTCTTCCTGTGAGTCCATTTTGCCATGTGCTGTCTCACAGGGTCACACACAGCTGGGCACGTAGTTGGCATTGCACACATTTCCTCTAGCTTGGCAGAAGGACATATCTGTAATGAGAAGTATCTACGCTATCTAAGCTGCTCTGGTTCAGAATCTAATTCACAGGTGGATGAGTGTCCCAAACACATGGGTTCAAAAGTTTATGTTAAGCTTTACCACATTTGTGAAAGGCAATGCCTGAAGAAGGAAACAATGTAGATTATACCAGATTAGATTTTGTTAAATGAGCTTAGGTTGGAACATTCTTTTGTTTGTCAGAGGAATTTTTGAATAATGTTGCAGGGGAAGAATCCAGGCCAGAACACTAAGGGACTGTTTCCTGTTAGGTTACTGAGTGCATTTTTGTTAACGCTGTGCATTCCTTTTTTATGTTACAGTATGAACACACCCTCCCTCTCAATTTTTTGTTCCCAGTTAGTCTTTTTACAGGGCCTTTTGCAATCTCTACACAGGTATTTTTTCACATAACAGCTCCAGCAAACGTGCAGGAATGTCTTAATCACAACAAGAAGTTACTCTGAAACCATTATAAAACAAGGAGATGGGAATGTGAATAACAGACTTTATTTCTGCATGGATGATACAAAATGCTCTTGCAGAGAACAAAATATAAATGCAACACTGCAACAATGCTGTTTTTGCTCTTTTTCCCCCAAGTTTAAATTAAGATCTAAGACTTTGCTTACACACACATTAAAGACTAATTTCTCTCATTTTGGTTGCAAATTTGTTAAAATCTGTGTCAGTGAGCCCCTCTCCTTCTTCAAGATAATTCCTCCACCTGACAGGTGTGGCATATCAAGATGCTAATTAAATGGCATGATTAGTACCCAGGTTTGCCTTAGGCTGGTCACAATCAAAGGCCACTTTGAAAAACTCAAAACAAAAGTGCTGCCTATATTTTTGTTTAGTGCAGTTGCATTGTGAGTACTTGGAATGAAACTAGTTCTTAATCATGACTAACTGCTCTGTCTTTCTCCTTCTGCAGCCTAATTTACTACCTGGACCCATCAGTGCTGACTGGGCTCTCCTGCGCTGTCATGCTGCTCTGCTTAGCAGACTACCTGGTACCTACCCTCGCACCCAGAGTCTTCGGCTCCAATAAGTGGTGAGAGCATGGAGGTGACAGTTACATTGATGGGGAAAAACATTAAATGGATTTTCCTTAGACCATAAAATCATATTTATTTTGAATCTATAAAAATACGTTTGGCTTTGAAAGTCATTTTCCCCATGTTTTGTGTACGGGCTTTGTGCCAGTAAAGGCATTTTCTGTACTGCACTCAACATGAACCTTCACACCTACACCTGACTGGACAAATGTACAAATGACATTATTTGCTTCCAATTTTCAATGTTCTCTAAGGCGTCCACTGTTGAATAAATCTGACGTAAAAGGCCATAAATCATGTTAGTGCAAAGGCACATTGTCACAAAAACTTATTTGTCTGTATTCCAGTCGCTAAATCTAATCAAATCTTGGTGGTTTGTAGAACAAAAAACTACCGGCTAGCCTGTGAAATAATGCATTAACATTGAAATTTATTGATGTGTATTCCTGAGGACTCAGTGAATTTACCTGGCTTACCTTGTATTTAATATGGGTTAGTATGGGTCTGTATCCACACATTCACTGCATGAATTGGAAAATGGTATGAAAATCAACAAGAGCAAACTATAAAGGGAGTATTTAGAGGATAATTATGTAGTTTTACATTAGACAGCAAATGCTGTAAATTAAGCCCAGGCTAAAACTCAGGGCTTTGTGTGCTGTCTTGTTCGTTGCTTGGGCCGAAGCCAATGAAAAGCAGAATTAAGTTGGAACCAAATCATCAGTTGGAGATATTCTTGGTCTGATCTGAGCCAAAGAACCATTCCAGTATCACTTTGGAGGAAAAGGGGAGTTCTGTCTTTGTGGCAGACGTCCTTTTGCCATATCTGACCGCCCGAACGTTGTCACCCAAGACCTGTCCTGCAGGGTGTCCAACCATTTCATGGAGCTCTGACACTACACAGTGCTTGCCGAACAGCCCCTTCACTCAGCTGTGTGTATTTGATGGTGAGAACAGGACACCCAGGGCAGGATAGAGTAACGGCCTTCATTTGGCACAGCGTGTTGGACGTGTCCTCCACCAGAGGCTTTCAGTCTCTCAATATATAACCCTGCATCAGCAGAGCATGACCTGGACCCTTTTGCACTGCTGCACATTCCACAGGCAGAGGCAGCAGACATGTCGGGTCATATTAATACTTAGAGAAATGGTTAAGTGAAGAGTTTTCAGGGTGTTTAACATGCTATGCTTTGCATTCAGTGGTTTCTGAGTAGGTTGAAAGCAATAACCTTTTTGTCGGGGTGTAGTTATGACCGACATTAACTCAGGATGGGTAGTACTAACTCGTGCTGGGGTTTAAAAGGCAGCTTTGTGTTTCTAGATATTGATCTGCAGTGTCTGATCAAGATTCTTTGAGAACATGCTGTGTAGCTCAGCCTGCAGCTTCACAAGGCAGCAGAGTCAGCCAGATAGCAGGAGTCTGTCTATGAGGGCTGGTTAAATGAAGCTATCAAAGTCTGGTCACGGTCCCTGTTTGGCTTCCTGACAACAAGGACGGAAATAGGGGAAAATTGCTAAGCAGAAAATAAAGGCCACTTTGCCCAGCTGCCCTCCTTCCCTCGTCCAGTCAGGCCCTTCTCTCGCCCTTGTCCTTGTTTAATCCCTGCAGTCTTACAGTCCTGTTACATATTTTCTGCCCATCTGACTAGTGGATCAGTCAGGTCTTTGTATCTAGTGAAATGTTGGGAAAATGCCCACCAGTTACCTAGAGCCCAAATGGGCGTCTCCAGATAAGACGTTTTGTCCAGTCTGCTGGCTAAAACCCCAAAATAAGCAGTTTGATATAAGACTACAAATACTCACATTTGAGGAGTCTGAACAAGTGGTTTTGCTTAAAAAATATGTAATAGAGAAATTGACTAGCAAAATAGTTGCAGATTTAATTTTTGGTTATCTAAGGGAGATTACACATGGTGAATAATCTGAATAATCCTAGGATTTTTTTTATTTGATCATGTCAAAGTTCAGGCAACAACCCACTCTACAGTCTTCATGAAGGTGGGAACATAAAGAGTCTCTATTAAAGAGCTATTTACAAGTAAGGATAGCTTATCGATTGATTACTGATAGAGCTTGTTGACTTCCTCTTGATGACCACATTAATAGCTGTTGGTGTCTGATTGTCTATCACAACATTCTTTTGGCCTCTGCTTTAACTAAACGGAAAACTCTTCTGCTAGGATGCAGTTAGTTTTGTGCTCTTAATCACATCCTTGTCCTGAACCTGTCCTTGTTCACAGGACCACCGAGCAGCAGCAGCGTTTCCATGAGATCTGCGGTAACCTGGTGAAGACCCAGCGTCGGATGGTGGGCTGGTGGAAGCGTCTCTGCGCCCTCAAAGAGGAGAAGCCCAAAATGGTAAATTACATTGTAAAATTTTAACCAGACTCTCTCCTACCCACAAAGAAACTGAATATGACACTAAACGTTGGCCACTACATACTGTAGACATCAGCCTGAGAGCTGTCTGCAGTGCTGCACTGACTGCAGTAAATGGAGTCTTCCAATCTGTTTGTCACAATGGTGATCTTTCTCTGTACTCCAGATAAAAATATCCTCAGCTGACTTGGCTTTGCTGCTCCACTTAGCAGACCTGAAACTGGGTTACAGGCTGTGATAACCGTGTTTTTCAAAGCATGCGTTAACACCATTAGATACACCGTTAAAGCACATTCTTTAATTCAGTGAGCTTTGTAGTTTTCTTCAAAATGACAGTGCATGTTCTGCTGAAATAAATGGATTTTATGTTGCAGTACATCTGAGGAATCATTCTTTAAACTCATCAAATGATGCTTCGTGTGCTGTCAGGATGCAGTTTGTGTGTTTGAGTAGCTGCACCGTTGTGGGTTGACTGTAATGTGACCTCCCTGCTCTCCACAGTACTTTGCCTCAGTGATCAGCAGCTTGCTGGCAGTGGCCTGGATTGGACAGCAGGTGCACAACCTGTTCCTCACCTATCTGATTGGTGAGTACATGCAGTCATTGCATTGTTCAAACAACTCCTTTTTTTTGATCCTCCTGTTTTCTGGATTAGCATTATTATAGATATTTGGGGTGAAATGACAATGAGCTCATTTCACATGCATGATTTTAAAGTGGATGCATTAAAGGTGTTTATGCAGTGTAGCATTGGTTCAGGTAGAGATTTGAGGCATGGCTTTGAATCTAAATAAATTCCAACATAACTAGTGAACATTTGAGAAGTATCAGGGATAACGTTTCTTTCACAAATGTAAATTAAAAAATGCATGTTTTTACATTTAAAATCCATATCTTACAGAGCTACACACTCTGTGTTGGAAGTTAATGAGAAATCAAATTCATTGATTTGAGAGGAGAAGCTTATGATTACCAGGCTTCTTGGCACTATGACTCAGAAGCAGCAGTAATGAAGACATTTACAGTAACGGTAGTATCAAATTAGTGATGACATTTTCTTATTGATTACAATGGCACGTTTTTACTGCAAAAACAAAGTCATCTCTCAGGACAAAAGCTCCTGTTAGCGTTCAGCTGCACAGCGGTGCCTCAGGGAAAGTGACAGTTGGTGAATCAGCAGGTCTGCCGGCAGTGTGGGAGCCAGTCATTACTTCAAGAGCTGAGACATGTCAGGCATTCATCTTAGGTTAAGCCATGGACCAGAAATGACTTCAGGGGGTGCATGACTCTGAAACACAAAGAATTCCTTATCTAATCTCAGATCAAGTTGCACTTGAGTTGGGTTGGGCCAGTGTAAAAATGTTCAAACTGGTTTGATATTAAGAGCTGGACTGAGCACCGAATTTTACACACTTGACTCGGCAGATGCTCCTGAGTGGAACATAATGACACAGTGTCCTAACCGCAAATTAGTGTCTGTTGTAATGTTGCATTGTGTAACATCTGAGCTTACATCATGTGAACAAACCACATAAATATCGGCTATGCGCTTAATTAGACTGGAGAAGTATCCTTCATCTCCTTCATGTTGCCGGTTCCGTCTCACAGCCTATGAGACACTTTTGTCTCCGTTAGTGCCTTTTTATTTTAAAGATTATTTTATGGGGGCTTTTTGTCGTTTGGGTTAAGGATGGGACAGTTTAAAGCATGGAAGGGGGAGAAAGAGAGAGGGGATGACATGCAGCAAAGGGCCAAGGTTTGGAATCAAACGCGCAGCTGCTGTGGCAAGGACATCGCCTTTGTACATGGGGTGCCCACCCTACCTACTGAGCTGCTGGCCACCCCTGTCAGTCCCTTTTTATAAACATACATAATATGGGGTGTCGGTGGACTAGTGGATAGAGCAGGCGGCCCATGTACAAGGCTGTTGCTGCAGTGGCAGTGCAGGCTGGACTCGCAGTGGGTGTGAGTCCAGCCTGTGACCCTTTGCTGCATGTCATCCCCTCTCTCTCTCTCTCTCTCTCTCTCTCCCCCTTTCACACTTAATTGTCCTATCAATTAAAGGCAAAATGCCCAAAAAATATCTTTAAAAAAAACATACATAATATGTTCATCACCTTGTTATATTGCGTGTTATAATGACTAGTGCAATAGTAGTTGGATTTAGCAGCGCAATGCCATCAGCATAGGTTGCTGATGTAAGTTACTTTTTAATTTGCCACAACATGTTATAATGACAAACACCGGTTCAGCCAGCACAAATTTTAAACCAGTTTAAGCCCGTACACAGGACCAAACCAGCAAAACCGGAAATTGACCCAACACTTCTGAGTTTCATTCAGTTCATAAGCTGCTTTCATGTTTCTAGGATGTAGGGCCTTTGTCTACATAGCTTTTTTTCTCAGCATCTTTTTTTCAATTGTTCTCAATGAGGAGCAAGCGTAAGTGGCTGCATGTGCCTGCCTAGAGGAAAAAGACTTGTGCCTAGTTTTTTTTGTTTTTTTTAAACCCCAGAGCGCTCCACCTTTTTTGTGTGGCTGCTCCGAGTGCTTTAAGTTGAAAATCTCTGAAGTTTTCAGAAAGGTGCCGGTGATGGCACTGCTGCTTCCTTTGCTAGGCAAAACCCACGGGCAGCATGTCATTAGAAATTGCTGCCCACTCTTCTTTTATGAAGCAATGGGATTAAGCGCTTGCTGGGGGAAAAACATGCTATGAGGAAACAGGCCCTTAATCACACAGTCCAAAACTTTTGTTCGTTAACTGGTTGAAGAGCTATCGACTTGTCTACTATTTTGTTCCTCAGTGCTGCTGGAATGTAGAAAACATCCTTTTGATAAGAAATCAGAGTGTTATGTTAATGGTGTGGCATCTGTTTATTTCAGTTGCCTAGCTGCAGTGTTTTGAAATCAGATGTTTCATGTGCTGAGCTTCATCCTGTCAAAAAGAACTCAAGTTTCTCTTGAAGGCAGCAAATCAGGGATCCCACAGGTCCTGTTATCTCTAAAGCTACTAAAAATAACTATTCCAGTTTGTAATGCATATTGGAAGCATTTTGGTTAACATTTAGTGCCATTTTTAAAGAGTGCTGAGCTTTTTGCAGAAGGTATTTATGTTTGAGACTTAACTTGCATTATTAAAACCAGACTATCGAATAATTATTTTGAAGGTATCTAAGGCATTACATAAACTTCTTCAATCCCAACAGATCTTTAACTGTTAGTGTAATTATTTTGGGGCAAAAGTTTTAACAATATGAAAAGGTAAACACTGTCTATGACATAATCAACACTTCAGTGGGTGAAGAGCTATGGTTTGGGGGGAAAAGACTAGGCTGACATAACTCTATTTAGCAACTTTATATACAATACTCAAACATTATTAAGCCGTTTTCTCAAACTCTGTACAATGTCTGGAGAATCACGTCCGGAGTGTACAGGAGGCGGGATATGTCACGGACTACACTGCAGTTCCGTAGCCAGTTTGTAATTCGGTCATAAACAAGAGTTTCTTGCCGTTCTCTTAATTTGTCTGATGATTTTGGCTTTGGTCTTTACTGATAGAAGTTCCTGAATCTCATCTCTTCAGTCAGACATTTCATTAATGTCTTTGTGTAAATGACCCTTCATCTGTAGCCTCAAGTGTTTTCGTCTGGTTTGGTGGAAGCCTCACGGTAGAAATGTCATCAGCACGCCCACTTGTTCACAGTGAATTCTCCAGGCAATTATCTGCTCTGTTCACACATGGTCTCAATAGGACATTACACAAACTTTGTAGTAGGGAGCTGGCAGGGTAAAGTCCATTTAATGTCCAAATCACCTGATTCAGACATCAGCATTCTCACAGACAGTGCAGTGCATGTTTGTAAAGGGCTTTTAGAGTTTTGAACTACATCGGTATAGTGCATGATATACCTATGACCCCTGTCATCACATACTACGTTCTCTGAGATACTGTATATTTTACTATTTTACTTTCTATTTTTTAATTGTAGCTTAAAACTTGACATAAAAAAAACATGAAAAAAAATCAACCCAAAAAAAATGTCCAGGATGACCCTCTACTACTTGAATAAAAACTTATGCTTGGACTGTCTGCAAAATGTGTTAAAGATGTTATGTTAACCGTGTCTCAAACCAGCTCAGCTAGGCTTCTGACACCTGCCTGTTTTTTTTTTTTTGTTTGTTTGTTTTTTCTCTAGTGAGCTTCCTGCTTCTGCTACCTGGCCTGAACCAGCACGGCGTCATCACCAAGTACGCTTCCATGGCCAAGAGGGAGATCAACAAACTGCTCAAACAGAAGGAGAAGAAGAATGAGTAGATGATGTGTGGAGGTGAATCTCTGAAGATGAACCCTGATGCAAAATGGAAGGTGGAAGGAAGTTGTTTGAAGAAAAGACAGAGGGGAGCACAAAAGTTAAAAAAAGAGCCTTCTGCTTCCTCAGTCTCTGCCCCAGAGCAAGACACACTTTTTTTTTCCCACACATTTGATAAGTTTCATTTCTCTCTCCCCACATTTTGACATTTGAGCCTTGTCACCCATTTGATTTTTTTTTTTTTCTTTTGAATTTATCTGCCACGCATGCAGCCACGATATGAAGGTTCTGATATTGTCACATGTTCACACAAGGCACTGAAATGCTCAACCACACACATACACCTGCAATGTACACATAGTTGAAATCTTCCTTCTGTTTCTTAGGTTAAGTGTGCTTCATTTTAAGATGTCAGTAATGCTTTTAAGCCATTCCCTCTACATAGACAAAGTGACTACTGAGCAGTTTTTGTAGCATTACTGCATCATTTTAACCTCTCACAGATTCCACAGTATTTTCTTTTCAGGACAGTTTTTGTCACATTAGGAAAGGTCATGTAAATTTTACTTTTTTTGCTTATTCCGCTTTGGTTGTATTTAAAAATAACGCTGAAACAAAACTGGATTTAAAGCAGAGCTCGTCAGGGGCGCAACTGTTTCTAGATACAAGCCTACTGCTGTACTGCTGCTAGCTGGACTCTGTGGTCTATTAGCTCTTCTATAAAACCCCACAGTGTGTTACTGGTGTGGGATGTCTCTGTGTAAATAGGCCTCCGTCTCTGTCTGTTCTGTTTTCTCTTGTTATTTATGTGTTCTTTCCTCCTCGATCTCATCATTTCTGGTTTGGTTACTGTCATTTCATTTTTTGTCTTTATTGGAATTCTTTAAGAATGAATAAAGTTTGATTTAAATGAATTTTCACTGGCCTTCTGTAAGTTTCTTGGTTTGGATGTATGCCTGTTGTATGCCTGTTGTATCGGCAGCTGTGTTTTAACAGCTTTTAATATCGTTACAGGATTCATTTGTTATAGGACAGTCTGAGGTAATATTTAACATGTAATCTGCTCATCCTATGGAGAGCAGGACTGTGCTTTGTGAATATCATGGCAATCTGTCCATTAGATTGAATGTTTTGATATGGAAAATTTGGCCTGGCAAATGCAGTTTTTGGTCACAGTAGGAACTTGGCAAAATGGCTCTGAAACTCTGCTGTACACTACCTACACGGTCTCTGTTGTGCAGTGTTGCAAGGTGCACAGTAGAGCATTTAGCAGCTAAAGAGGCAGATATTTCCTGAAAGAATTTGTGGAGACTAAACCAGAACTAAAAGGAGAGAGAATAATGGATTTGGATTCATCAGGTGGACACAAATGACAACTCCAGTGAGATGATCATGTTTCTCTGTCTGCTGGATATGTAAATAGACAATTGTCTGCAAACTCAAGTCCTAACAATGTTTTTAAGATATGTACGTAAGTGTTGTGTTTATAACTAGTTTTCACTGTCTTTTGTGTGGTTAAAAAAATTAAGAGATTTAAAACATATAGAATATTGACCTGGCTAATAAACCTTAAACTGAAGGAACTGCACAGGCAGTGCTGGTGAAGTTACTTTGAAAGCATAGCTTTGTAAGCCACCAATTATTTCCCACTGGAAGAGGTTGAACTACAGCAAAGCTAGGAGAAATGTAGGGAGAAATATAGTTTGGTTAACTGAAAAAAGTAGTTCAAACTACTTTGTAAAACAAATGAAAATTGAAATGTACATGAATTATGAAATTTAAATATACAAAAAAGTCACATGCCAGTAAGAAAAAGCCTCCCAACTGAGTTTATTGCAAAAGTGCCCATTTGTTCACAGTTCATACATAATACAAAAAAAAAAAACAACTGTTCATGGGAATATGCAAGGAATGTCAGCTTTGGTTTTGAATAAAATGTCTATCAGTCAGAAAACCTGCCTTTAAAAAAGGGTCTGGGTGGGAGCACTCAGCAGGATTACTCAGTTAGCCAGGTAACTTTTGTTAATACAGAGCAATAACTGATACTTTCCACTAACTGATGCCTGATAAACTCTGCGTGATAAATTAATTTCCTGGACATGCCCTCACAGTGGTCAGGATAAAAGGAAAATGGGACAGGGCTGGTCAAATAGGATTCAATTACAGTTCAGAATCAGTGGGAAAATTTAAGAAAAATCATTCAATTACTTTTGTGGCTCCAAATAGTAGTTGTAAAAAAGGCAAAAGAAAAACCTTGAATGATGAAAATAAATTTAATTACAGCAAGCTACTGCAAATTGTAGTTACACCAAGCTACCAGTTTAGTGACATGTAGTTTACTTCTCCCCAAAACTGTAAGCATGTGGCAGAGAATGAAGGAAATGGACAAATTTCACGACTCTGGATCAAATGTCCTTATGTTACGTGACGTAAATGCAGTTGATTTGCTTGTCCAAAGGAGGAAAAACCAAACTGTCAAAAAATGTGTGACAAGTCTGAGCCAGTTTTGGCCAAATATGAGGATCTTTGATTCTCAGTTTAAAATTGTATAATTCACAAAGTGTCCCTATGACCACTGGTTAGGAACATCTTGCTTTTTGATTTATTGATCTACAAACATAGATAAGATGTCCCAGAGACAGCATGGGATTGCCTACTTTTTCTACTTGTACACATACTTGGTCCAGTCATGCACGTTCTCTGATGGCTTTTCTTTCCATTCATCAAACACTTCTGAAAAAGTCTTTGTATTTTCTACATATCTTTCATGACTGAGTGTCAGTGTTGTTTCCCTCCAGGGCTGTTCTCAGATTTTACAACAATTTGAAAAAGATGTCTGGTGACATGCCAGACTGAGTACACACTGTAGTCTGCTGCAAGTCTGACGCACGCAGTGCAATGGAAATGTATTTTAGATTATTGGATTTATATGAATACTCTTTGAGTTGTGTGACAAAGCTAAAATCAGCTTATCTTTGTAAGTCAAGACATTCAATGACTTTTACCAATGAACCATGTTGCAGTTGCATATGAAAAGGTATTTTCCCACTTTTACCTTCATCCTTTTACTGACACATAAAACCAGTCAGGAGCCATGGAAGTGGCAGAATCATTTTTTTAATAGAGGGTTGTTGTGCAGCCATTTCCTGTCAGTCATTGCAGTGTATAGCATACTGTAATTGCAGTAAAGTGTGTCAGTAAAGTCTGAATGCAGAGCAGTCTGTCTCCCAGCACCTCGCTGCCCACAGCAGGTTGTCTCTGGTACGTCTGATGGGCTTTCCTTGACCCATGGTCTGCCTCTGTTCACCTGTAGATAGGTTTGTTCAGTTGTGATTGCTTTCAAAATGTAACTTCTAATGATCAAACAGAAGCCTTAGGTCCAAACAACTTAAAATATTGAAGAAATGTGTCATCTTTAACTTACTAGCTTTTGGAAATCACGTTTTAGTTACTTAACTATTCACAGTAAATTAAATTTTGACAATCTTGGTCCAAACCTTTGCATGCAAATGTACTTATGACCCACAGAATAATGAATAGATAGGAAATAAGCGCCCTTCTTGCTGGAGGAGCCGATGACTCGCAGCAGCAGATACAAACACACATCAGTGGGCTGAACAGGTAAGATGTGTTGAATGAAATCATGTGGCTAATAAACTGCCTTTGTAGTTAATAAAAGTCATCTCAAGATACAGTTATAGGTGGCAATACTCTCAAACAGAGGCAGAGGCATTTTTCTTTTGTACTGGTCCTGTAACCTTGTCCCCACCACTTGCAATTGCCATCTTTCTTAGCTCTGCTGCCTTTTCCAGCAGTAGAGACTGACCTCTGGTGGCGCATGCTGTGCACTGCATCATCTCAATACAGCATCTCTGCATCAGCTGAACAGACAGAGGAGCATCTGTGTTTCTGACAATATTGAAAACTATATACTACTATACTATATACTGTAATACCTTAATACCACCCAAGCCTACTATCCACTGCCTTATGGTATAACACAGTAACATGTCACTGTGAATAGAAGATTAAGGTAGGTGATATGTGATCCTCTGATACCATATATGTTATTTAAATGAGACATTTTACGTAAAATCCATAGATTAAATATTAATGATTCAAATGACCATAGACAGTTTAACTGTTTAGCAAAAACACACTCTCATCTGGTCATTTATGCAGTTCCTCAACATGACCACTGGAGGGCAGTAACTTTAAGTACACTCAGGTCATTGGCGAGCACTACAATACAAATACTTCTAACTTTATGAAAGATGACAAAACATTCACAAAGTAGTGTCTATTGTAGGGCTGTTTGATGGAATGGATTAAATGCAGGGGTTCATATTGTTTGCTAACAATTTGACATTTAATTATGATAATAATAACACTGATAAATCACTAACAGTGTGATAATTGTAGTTCATCATTTCATAAAATGAAGTGTTCATTGTTCTCTAGTGGCCGCAGTGAAGGCCCTTTCAGTCATATTCTTACTGTATTGGCAATTTTACATGTCAAATTCATGTTTGAATGAGCTCCCTTTGGCCTCTTTTCTCCCAGTAATCATACCAAAGGATCACCATTAAACTGACAATACATTTAAAATGACAAAACAAGGGACTTAATGTTCAAATATAGAAAATAATAGTGTTAGCCTACATACAGACATACTTTTGGTTCACTTCCAATTGGTCTTTTTAACTTTATATACATAGCTATTGTTGTGTTGTTAATAATTTAGCTGAAATTTAACCCATTCAGAGTAACCTTGACAGCAATCTCAGGTGTAACTGTGACCTCACTGATCACCCTGGGTGTCATGTAATCATAATAAATCATAGGTTCTACATTTTGTGAACCCAAAGCTGACTGATATTCCGATGACTAAGCCTTAGATAACACTACTGTAGCTGATGCTGAGACAAAATAGGATCAAGAGCAACTAAATGTGTGTTTTGATGTATGGAGCTATATGCAGAGTTCACACTACCTGTTAGTATGTTGTGTTGGTGCCACTTTGTTGGTCTGCCACCAGCCAACTGTGGCAAGCCATCAGTTACTGGGAGTGTATGCCATGTTTTGTAGGTGGTCCAGTTCTCAGATGGATCCTGTGGGTTGGTGACCTCTTTGACCGCCTGGCCACTGCGATACCGAGCCCAGTTTTCCACCTTCAGGTTGGTCCTCTGGAGCAAGACAGAAGCACAGAAGGGTGTGAACCAAGGCACAAAAAATCACAGTTTTTTTTTTTGTTGCTTTAAAAAACTGTTTTTGCCTACTGAATAACCTTGTTGTGATTAAGACAAAAATTTTAAAGGTACAGGCCTGAA